CGTTTCAGTTCCGTGCGCTTTTCGAAATTCGCGAGGTCATCCTCCTCGTCCAGAGCTTCCCTGCAGCCGACTGGGCCCCAACGAGTGCCATGTAGATGGGTTGTGTCCGGCCGAGAAGCCATGGGCAATGTCATGGAGGGAATGAAGCTTGAAGGTGCCCACCTCCTGCTCCCCGCACGTGTGGCAGCAGAAACAATGGCTGCCGTGGCTGCGCCCTGCCCAGCAGCAATGGATGCCAAGGTACCGGGGCGATGCTTGGTGTCCTGGGAACCTTGGGACCTGGGTGCCTCTGGATTCTTCGCACGATAGGATTGCCGGAAGCGGCGTCCAAAATGCTCCAGCCACAGCTGCGCACATTTGACTGCAAAGTCACTTGGCTCAAGCAGCCCTCCTGGTCGTGCTGGAGGTAGAAAGAACTCCTCTTCTTTCTGAGGACCCTCGGCTGACACTTCCATGATTGATGCCACGCTTGCGCCAGTTTCAGCCAAAGGCCCGGAGTGCATGTTCAGCTGGTGCAACAACTCACCGAGATTGCGCTCCAGCGTGGTAGTATTGATTTTCAAGGAGAGGTAAAAGCTTATGAGCACTTCACAGTCTTCCAACCACTGAACCTTCGGCACCTGCTGAGCACGCCACACTGGCAGCAACGCCCACGACCATGCCTGCCTGTTGCTGACACACAGTCCTTGCGCCTTGGCCGCACATACAACAGAGTGCAACTTTACACCAATTGAAGCCACCACAGGCACAACTGTCCTTGACTGCAGTTTCAGAAGCTTGCACAATGTTGCGGCATGCGTTCGCAACTCCGACCGACGCTGGGCATCACCCCACCGCTGGACACTGAACGTTTGCAAGGCGAACCCGACCTCATCACCACTCAGATCCACCTTCACACGCTTGAGCATTGCCTTGGTCACGTCGCTCATTTGTTCCATGACCCGCCGCACTTCCGCCACTCCAGCATGTGTGCAGAGGTAGTGAACTTTGTTGCCGTAGAAGATCCTGGCAGCCAACAAGAAAACCAGAGCCACAATATAATTTTAATTTAGTATGATAATAAA